ACAAAGAATTGTCAAAAATGTATCCATGAGAGACTGGTACTGTGGATCACCTCACTTCTGCACCTTTTCTACCATAAATAATGCATAGATGCCAGACTCATTTACATTGCAGCAACGGCTCGCATCAATGTAGAGAGCACAGGATGACACCAATATCCTGCATGGCCTGAGGTATTTTCTGTACCACAGACCTGTCCTTTCCTCAAGACATCTCTAAACAGCACAGACTACATGCACTTACTCACATATTTGCAGAACTTAAGGCAAAACTACATGATATTTGGCCTTGTTTCTAGGAAAGAGAGAAAAAAGAGACAGATAGCTATCGACCTGGCCTAAAAATTTGCATGTGTATAGGCTTGTTAAGAGAGTTGGAGTGTGAAAGGAGTTAGAGGACTGAACGTCCCTTTGTTCAGCCTAAATGTCCCTTTGTTTACTGAGAACCAAGGCAGGGGAATCAATGGTTTGAGAACCCAAACCTGGCTGATTGAAGATACCTCTCCCGGCCAAGAGTTTCCATTGGGGTTGAAAAGGGAGAAATAAATGGGATTTTGTATGCTCTTTTGTAAGGACCCTGCAGCTCCAAACCACCTTTTCTCACTACTTTTTTTTTTTCTCAGCAAACAACCCATAATGTAGCTCAGTAGTAATGTCACCTCTATTTGTCTTCTATAAACTGCACTGCAAAAATGTACCTGCAGAACAAGCTTGGCCTTCCCTTGTCTGCAGACAAGAGGAAGATGTGAGTAATGCAAAAATCAGCTGCAGTAGAAATCTGTGAGAAAAGCGATCCTTTTCTCTGACCTGCTGGACACACATGAACCCAAGGATTTAGGAAAGCCTGGATAACAGGTGCAGAATACAGACACCACTTGTGGATGACAAACTGCTAGAACACTGCCTGCCAAAATAAAAAGCCCTGCTGAGATAGCTGTACATTTGCTCAGGACCCTGTGCTTAATTTTAAGGATAATTAGGGTTTGTCCAAAGCCAAAATGGATAAAAATAGCAACTGAAACCTTCAAGTATCTTTCCTTCATCACTTGGGCCATGAACTTTTTGGCAAAAGGGACTCTTTGATACCAACAAGTTACGTCTGCTCAATCACAGCATTTCAGCACTGACTCATGCAAGCTGCAAAGGGGTTTTAAATGCTAGGGAGAGCTGGTCTTTTGTATTCTGACAGCTCCTTACTGCAGCTTTATACGAGTACCTCTCAAATGAAGAGCCTGGAATATATGCAAAAAAAAAAAAAAAAAAAAAAAAAAGACATGTCAGTTGCTTCACAGTGCTTAGGGCTCCCCTGGAGCTTAATTATGTGGGAACTGTAACATGTAGTCTGTCAGCTAAAAGGTGGCAGATCCCTGTGGCACAGATTGAGAGGTGTGCTGTGAAACATTACTCATTTGCTCTCGCCCTACAGGTAAGTATGGCATGCCCTGTGCAAGCCACAGGTTCCCACAGCTGCATGGGGGTTCCTCATGTTTCTCATCTGTGATGTCCATGGCAGTGAGCTCCTAGATCCAGCTTCCAGCATCCCTGTGCACACTGCAGTTTGGTTCTACATTTAGATGAGTAGCACATAAATATTCCCATCTTCACCACATTAAAAAAACCAATCATCACTCATGTTAGTTTTCTGCTGCTCTATGAATCTAAACTACAAGCAGGGCTAAGTGATCAGCACCATAACCTTACAAATTTTCTGTCTCTAACTCAGGGCTATAACTGTGGGAGATGTATTGTCCCCTAGGAATGTGATAAGCTCTTTGGCACAATTCTGAAATGAAAAAGCACGGAGATCATATTCCAGGATATATTTTCAAATGTCTAGCAACATTTCCCCTGGTTTCATTTTTTAAATCATAAGCACTGGAATCACTCATTTCTAAGGCTCTGTCTTGTGTTGGTGCCTAGCTGCCTTAAAAAAAAAGCAAACTACAAAAAATTTCTGTCCCAACTTATATTTTTCATTTGCAAACATTTACTCAATTCTCTGAATTAACAAGGAACAGCTTCTTCTTCTACTACATGCAGGAGGTGCTTTCATAAACTTGTCACATCCTGATGTTAGTAGCATATGGTATTGAAAATATTCCTACTGCTTGAAGGGAGAGCTGTTACAAATACTTCAAGCAACAGTTTGTTAATTTTGGATGTGATCCTACAGTGCACCAATATTTTTCTCATGCTTTTAAACCTAACCATATAATGAAGATGCCCCATGAAGTTTCAAAAAGAATGAGTTAGACCATAGATTTTTTGGGGACCTTAGAACATTTCCTTTCAAACACCAATGTCTATAAGACAGAGTGTTTCTTTCTTCTTCCTTTTACAAACTAGAGGAGCAAATTCTCTTTTTTCCCCCTTTTTTTTTTCTATTTTTTTGTGCTATCATGAAATATGGGATTAACTGTGCTCTACATGAGGAAAAGTAAGGCTGCCTTGCTTTACAACTCGAGGAATATAGGCTGTGCCTTACAGACCATAGGTAGACCTCTTGCTCTGGCTGCCTAGTAAATTGAAATATGACAGTACAAAAAAGAAGAGATGAGAAATTGGAGTGTTAAGAATAAGGCCAGAAGGCAAGACTTCTCAGGGATATAATATGGAACTGGCATCAAAAGATAGAATTGGGCAGAGGATAACATCATTAGTCCTCCAGATATACTGAGCAGCAATATATGTCACATGGGGTCAAAGAGGGGCAGGATCACAGCCCTGGGGGAATATATGGAGTAAAGTAGTTGTCTTCCATGAAGAAAATTTTTCCTTATCTGCTCCCTCAAAAGGATGCTGTGTCTCTCAGCACTGTAATTCCACCCCAGCTCACTTTTCCCAGAAGATGACTGAACTGCCACAGGGAAATGGCTTAGCTACTGGTATTCAGCTAGTTGTCTGGAGGGCGGGGGGCAGGTAGAGAAGACAACTGGGTGGATTTATGGTATCTAATACCATAAAGGGGTTTGTCAGGTCCTCCTGTAGCAGCCTTCCCTTCACCCGCCTTCCAGAGGATAAATGTTGTATTTCCACTGGCACCTTCACCATGACCATTTTTCCTACCCTTCTCAGTGCTTGTGTAGCCACAGCTTCTTACTGTAACAGCTGATCACTGCCTGGGCTCTGCCTACTTATTTTGCAATGTATCAGATATTTTATAATTGACAGGAGGGAAGCCCAAATGCAAAAGAACTCATCTCTAGTTACACAGGCAATTTTGTGGCTAAGCAGGCAGTTGAATGAGGATTTCTAAGATTAAGGTGACTTCCTATTTTACTGGCTATAAATCTTAAGCCACACTTTGTTAGCAGTGAAATTTTCTGGGATTTCAAACTGAACCTTATGCCATTATTTTCCCACAATATTTGCTATGCTGCAACAGTCTTCTTTACCTTCCTTCCCCTGAAATAAGATTTTTTTCATTGAGGCCAAGTCCACAGATATCTACTTAATCCAATTTGATTTTTAAAGCCTTGTGAAAAATAACACAGGCAAGAAGGAAAAGAGGAAGGCTCAATTTGCTGTGAGAATTATTTACAACACAACAACAGCTAAAAAATATGGTTATGGCAGAAAAAGCAACCCAGGATGCTTTCTCTTGGAAAGCCTCAGACTGAAAAATTAAGGCAGAGCAGGTCAATTGAGAGATGCATACATTAAGCACATTTCCTATCTTGCCCTAATAATGTATTCTGAATGCAGCAGCACACACTTCTTTCAGCCTTTAACTAGCCACTCAAACATGACCATTAAGCATATTCAGGAGGAAATACAAATATGAGAAGTATACCATGACATCCTATAGAAAAAACACACAGGAAAAACAGAAGGTAAACCCAAGGGCAGAAATGTGCTGCATAAAACACAGTTGATACAACACAGAGTTCAGAGAGGTGAGAGAACTGCTTTAAGCAAAAATGAAAAGACAAAAGAATCACCCAAACAACTCCTTCCTCCTTTTATGCTGTCAGATTTATGGTTTCTGCTATTGAAACTTAAGGCAGTGAGAATAACAAAATTTTGATGCTTACTTAAATCTAGCTAGACCAGATGTAATACAGCTCTCAAGTGAAAGATCTGCCAGGGAACAACAAATACACAAAGCTGATTGTTAACCAAGTCCTTTACAGGGCAAGTTGACCTGGTACATTTTTGTGAAAAGAAACAAAGCAATGGAAATACCAACATAATTTGTATTCAAAGAGAATAGTGTGCTCAAGTATACCACAGGAACTTGGGATAACATTATAAAAATCTTTTACCTCTATTTTCCTTCCTAAAACTTTGTATTTGGTTTTATTTTTTGGCACTGATGACATTATTTTTTTGTCCACAAATTTCAATTAAGAAGAATCCCACATTTTAGGTTTCAGCCTCTGACCGGGAAAATAACTTTTTACAGTCATGCTATTTAGCATCAGTTTTCAGTGGTATGGCAATATTAAGAGAGTATTTTTGAAACAGGGTGAATCTAATGTAAACATTAACCAAGCAGTGAAAATAGAAGCTTAAAATTTAGTTAAAAGCACACGAACAAGTAGGAAAGCAAAAGACTAGCTAATATTTCACACTCAGGTATCTAAAGATCATCCCCTGAAATAAGGCTTGAATTTGGATATATAGATATTATCATTAGAACAATCTTAAACCCAGTTTCCATGAGTAGTGGGTCGCTTCAGCAAACTCCAGAGGTTACTCTTTCTAAGCTATAAAGTAACTAAAAGCTAGAGTGACAAAACAGAGATTTCCTGAGGCCATCTTTCCTATTTTCTCAGCCTCTCCTGGCTGTATTAATCATGTCAGTTAGGATAAATTTCCTACTTCCACCATATCAATCATTTTGAGTTACCTGAAGAAACTGCAGAGCAGCTGGAGAACGCTATGTCAATGTGCATACTTGACTAAAAATTACATGCTTCCTCAGGAGGAATGATGGGATTTTGGAGAACTGGTGAAAGCTATGCAGCAACTAAAAAAACGGAGTATTAAACTCAGATTACCTGGGCACCTACTCTAAAAGCAGCTTCCACTTGAGCTTTGAGGATGTTGCACTTCAAATGGTCAGGTACAGATGAAGGTGACACAGGCGCATGAAGAGGTTTTTCTGATACCTTCTTGTCTTCAACCTGAATTTATTTAAAAAGCAGTGATGTACATTAGAAAGATAAGTTCATAAAATTATCAAAGATTAAATTTTTACTTGTAATAACTTGATTCAGCAATATTGGCTAAAACTTCCATATTCATACTCTGAAAGATATATCTTATAAGATTTTGAAATATTTAATGACTTGATACTATGTTCAAGACAAGAATAGCCCCAGGGAAGCCTGAGTAATAGAAGCAAGAAAATTATGTGGAATGAAGATACATTAAAAAAGCCCAGCCAGGCCCTGGAGTGGTTGTGCAAACCTGTGATCAGACCAAGGAAACAAAACATTGTCTCAAAATATCCCACAGAAGGCAGAAGAGAAAACAGCACAATTATAGTGAACACTGGCTTTTTACACCACCCTTAAAATGCAAAGCTTTGCAAGTTTAACCAGAGAAATGTGAAGGAATCTTCACTTAATTGCAAGCCAAGCAAAATCTCCTTCATCAGAAGGAAAAGGAAAATCAAGGAACTTTAAACATTGCTCATGCTGTTTCCACCTGATATCAATCCTTTACCTACGCAGTGATCTGAATCAGAAATTTTGGCCTCAGGATAGCTAGTGTAGTGCCCTGGTCAAACATGACCTCAAGGTTCTGTGCCTTGAACACGACTATGTCCAGCAGAAATGCCACATTAATAAACTTCTCATGCAGAAAAGGAAAACAAAAAGACAATGTAAGAATAATGTATCAACAAAGAGAGTATGGTGAGACCAGGATTGTAAACAAGAACTCTTAAACAATGCAACTGCAATATGGCACATATTTTTAGAGAATAATTGGGCAATGGCATAACAGCCATTGCAAACTTTCCTATTCTTCCTGAAAGTGACATCTGAATTAGAGATGAGTAACAGCCCAGATTGTGCATTCATTTTCTGCTCTCCTGGCTGAGAAGGGTGAGTGGTTGTATACACCCAGACAGAGCAGATATATAATGCTGTCATTCAGATTTCACCCACAACAGGTATAATGAATCAGTACACCAGGTTCAGTGATCCTCAAGGTTCACCTCTGCCAAGTATTTCAAGACAGAACCAACCATTTTTTTTGCTACTGAAATTACCATGTGATTAGCGCTTTAACTTCAAAATCTGTCTCCTTTATCCTTCCTTCTGCCCTCCCCATGGCATGCCAGTGGCTGATGGTAACTACAATCTTACAGACTCTTTCCTCGAGCAAGCACAGACAAATGGGAATATAAAGATTTGGGGAACGCTTTCTGCAAGTGGAGCAAGTCACAAAAGCAATTGTGTTGCCTGAGGAAACTGTCCAGCAAACACTGGGGAGGGAAAGAGCCAGACCTTAGCAGAACTCTGTTGAGACTGCAAGATATTTATGTGTAAGCAAAGTTGGTCTAGCAGCCTTCTGCATCCAAAATTCCGTAGCTGCCAGGTATGATTTTGAATAACTATCTGTTAAAGGACTGCTCATCATGGGATTTTTTTTTCCTCTGCCAAATTTCTAATAATTCTTACATGTTTATTTGTCAAGCCACATTTACTTTTTTTAGAGGAAGATATATTTGGACTTCCCATTCTCCCCAGTCTCCTCCTAAGGGAAAAAGAAAATACATAAAATGAAAAGTGACAGTGTCTAGCTGGAGCAACTTATGGAACTGCAGTCATCTATTCAGTCTTGATTAAAATAGTAGTTCAGCAAGCATATGGAATAAAACCAATGCACTAAACCCAAGCATGAAATATTTTATTGCCATAGGTGTCTTTTCTAGGATACTTGGAAGATAAGAAGGGGAGATAATCAAAAGGACAAAATTATTTGTAAAGAAAGCACAGCTTTTACTTCACTGATACTCTTGGTAGACAAAGTGAACCCATTTCAAAAAGGCTGTTATCACTGCCAACGCTCTTGTGTATTGATTTCTAACAGCTGAAAAAACAACACATTAAACAGTGGCATTTCTAAAGGCCATGCAAAATCTCACCTTTGTTTTAACACTGTATACTAATTAAATAACATTTCAGTCAAGCAATAATAGATAATGGTATTTTACTTGCTGTACCAAGGCAATTGAGGCTTGTTTAGGAGACAAGCTTGTTTCATAACAAGAAATGTTCCCAAGTCCCATCCTTCTGGTGGGTTATTCAGGTGCATATAGATGTTTTTCAGTTCTATTGTTCTTCTTCCACTGCCCAATTTTCCCACATTGACCAAGAGGAAGATAAAAACTCCCAGGGCTGCCCTATATCTGGGAATCCTCAAAAGATCTAAATCTCCTGCTGTATTCAGTATTGTGCAGATGACTTCATTTAACAGAGATCCCCAGTGTGAGAGCTGATGTGCAAGTCCCACATTGAGATTCTTGAGAGGCTGACCTGGCTGAAAGAGAAAGCTGCTGCTAGAAGGTGCACACTTCTCAGAAGCCACCACTCGGTATTCAGTTTTGCTTTAGTCCTTGTTTGGGTGACACTTTAAGGGTTTCACCTTCAGGCAAGCAAAACTTGCTTTGCTTGCACTGCATCAGGAGCAGCAGCACCTTTAGTGACTGGTCAGACATGAAGAGCAGACACTGCTGCAATTGCTGCTCGGCCTCAGCAGCCGCTGAGCCAGCAGCCAAAGGCCACCGTGTCCCCCTGCCCCAGTGGAAATGTCAACTGCACACAAACCACACACGGGGCACGGGAATATCTGGCCTGACCCAGGCCTTCCTCAGCTTCTGAACACATGTCAAAGGCATCTTTGCCTGCCTGCCTTGGCAGTGGCAGTCTTTCCTGCCACAGAAAAGCACATCCTGAATCATTGCTGAATTCTGCTCTCCCACAGCTGATTAGCTGAGACTTTACACACAGAGTCAGCGGCGCCGAGGATCCAGATGAAAAGTAAACTTTAATCACAGAACAAAGCAGCATCTCTTTATTGCAGACTATTAGCTCTTCTAAGCATCTATATAAGCTCCTATTTTTCCCTAATGCCACTAATCTTTACATACAAGCTCGTTCATCTCCCAGTTTAACTCCTAAAGTATAACTGTCATCAAGAATGCAAAAGAAAATATTTCACGGCTACAAAAGTGCCTGCAGAATCTTCTGTGATTCATTTCACTAGTTTGTAAGAAAATCAAAGATCTAAAACCTGTCTGCATTAGGAATCTCCACAGAGTATTGCTACAAGAATGAAAGCTGTATTCTACTTTATTTTGCTGTATAATAAATAAATTTTATATTTCCAGAATCCTCACTGCTCGCAGCATAAAGAGAGCGGCTATTCGTCTATTGAGCCAGGCTGGCAGTTATTAACATTTTGTTTTAATTTATACACTCAGAGTATTGTATTTGGAAATTATTACAATGCTAAGCATGGCAGGATGTTAATGAAACTTCTTATTTTATAATTTTTTATGACACAATTCAAAAGAATCTTAGATGCCCCTTTCAAGTGAAAGTCCTAGAGTCAAACTGGCATTTGAAAGAGAGAATATTCTTGCTTAGAATTGCAATTTAAACTCATCATAAAAGGTTTAGAAATTAAGAAAAAACCCGTTAGAATTCCTGATAAATCTCCAGTTTTCCATGTCCAATTCTGCTGATCTCAATAACAGCAATGTGTTTACATTTTTTTCACTGCCAATGCAGAATTTTATTTTTCCATGGAAACAGAACACTGGAAAATTGCATTTAAATGGAAAAAGTCAAACAAGCTCAGATATATACACATATAAAATTAGAGGCATTTTTTTCTTTTTGTAACTGAACTCTTACATTTGCTTTTTCTCCTCCCAAACATTTACTTTGAATTCAATTACATTTGCTGATACTAGAACTGAAGGCAGATTTGTAGAGTGTCAGATAATGATGACACTGATTTTGGTTTGCAAAGCTAAGTGAATATTAAGTACACATACAGAATATAAAAATCGTTACAAAAAAATAGCAACACCACTCCTGTAGATAACATCTCCAAGCTCTGCTTTAAAAGGTTCATGCTTTGTTCTGCATCAAACTTTGTACCAAAGGCAAGATTCATGATCTTGTGCCTCTGTGAATTTATTGATAGCCTCTTCTTAGACAAACAACATGTTTAAAACATGTATTTGACTGGAGATAACTGAAGAATGGAATGAATATTTTCTTTAGGAATGCAGGTCTATTTTTGTCACTAGTCATCACTACTAGTGGGAGGTAAAATTTTAACAAAGACAACACAAATATATATGTTCTGAAAACACATTAGCTAACTGAGATTTCCTGGGACTCAACTACATCTGCAAATGTGCATGGAAATCTACAGACTCTTTTGCCCCTTTTTCACCAGAAAATTTATTGCTTTTAACCATGTGACAGCTAACACCAATTATGAACAGATACCACAATGATAAGACCGGTACAAATATGTGTTACTCTTATTTGAGGTAAAGTTTACAAGCAGAAACTGCATGTTCTTCATTAGAAAAAAAAGTACAGTTGAAAAAACAAATAAACAAACCCCTCATTACACTGTCAGACACAGAATATTTTCCTGAGGTTAGCTATTACTTGGTCTAATGAAAAATATAACTCCCAATAAGTCTTGTTATGCTTATATCCTTGGAGTAAACTTCTTTAATTCTTGGTATAAAATTTATTTTATAAAATGCTATTGCTCAATGTTAATAAATCCTACTTCTGTCACTGCTAGCAGCATGACAGTCTCAGAGGACCATGGCAGCCTTTTTTCCTGGATATACCCTCTGATGTGTGCACCACACAGAAGAGTCTCAGGTACATCACAAAGGTGGGTTTCATTTGGTGAGTTTTCTTAAACTAAAAATGATTTCTGAAACCCCAGTGGCTTTGGACATTGCTGTTATGCAGGAAGCAGGTAGTTCCACAGATTTTTGCAGGTGGTGTCATTTGGAAGCAGACAATCTGTGTAACAGGGCAGTCCTATAACGTACTTTTGCCCTGCTAACAAAAGGCCATAAGTTCTGAGGAGAGTTTGCAAAGATGTTAAGGCTCATCTGGCTAGCTCTCTCTGAAACTTTCTCAATCTGCCTGCAGCTTTGTTCTACTAAGTTTAGCTGTAGCAGCAATAATTTTATATAAAAAACACCAGTGTTCTTTGTAGAATAAGGTATTTAGGACTCTAACACAAACATGTAGCTTAAAACAATGTAGGGCTGATATGAAAACAGGGGCTTTGAGAAGGGAAGACACAGGACATGGTCTAGAAGAGTGCTGATATGGAGTGGTAGGGCAAAGGGCACAGTCTGGCACTGGGGACCCAAGGCTGTAAAGAACTCACCAATGGCCAGTTAAAGTGCAGACCTAAACCTGGACAAAATTGGGTGTAGGGACAATAAAGAGAGTGAAGACATAATATGTAGCATATATATGTAAAAGTCACCATGTACAGTAAATTCAGGTGTAATGCAAAGATGTAGACCATTGAAGAAAGAGCAAGATGCAAAAGCTTATTTGAAAACATACAAAAGGACCCAAAGTACATTGTAGACTTTTATTATATAGACTCCTATTATATTGAGGAGAAACAAGAAAACATGAATATGCCTAGATAGAACATTGGAACAGGCTGCCCAGGGAAGCATTTGAGTCACCATCCCATGAGGTATTTAAAAGACATGTAGATGTGGCACTGAGGGACATGGTTTAGTGTTGGACTTGGCATTGCTGGCTTAACAGATGGACACAATGGCCTGAAAGGTCTTTTCCAACCTTAATGGTTCCATGATCCTATGACCATCATAATTCCCCCTCTGATCCCATCAAAATGAAATCACCAACCTTAGGACCCATAGGTGAAGGGAAAGGGTGAGCTTGACACCAGGAAAAGAGGTAGAAACAATTTGAAATGTATTATTATTCCTAATTTTTACGCCAAAATTACAGCTGAGCTAATAATTACTAGACTCCCGAGATTTCAGAGATGCTAACAATACATTCTTGGCTTCACATCATAAACACACACACACACACACACACACACATGCACACACACACAAAGTAACAGGGGATGGGAGAATATATTTTTCTAATGAAAGGCTTCCAAGAAGAAAATCAGAAATACATTCACAGCTACAACACTTAAGATTGTCTGTCTTGGAGATAAAGGAGTTTGCTAGCACCAAAGGGCATTGGAACACAAGTTGAAACAGACTTTCATCATTCAGAAGGTGGACAGACACGCACACCATACCAAACAGCTCTGGCAAAGAGTTTGGACACATCCATTCATCATTCCCATGAGACAAAGTTTGCTGCAGCAGACAATCAAATTAATTAACTGCAGAATCTAATTTACCCAATTTCTTGCTAATTCTCCTATGGGTCGATTATTAAGCCTGACAAATTCCAGCCTGAAAGCACTTTGCTTGAAAAAAATAACAATTAGCAACAAGAAGGGAGGGAGTGAAAACTGGGACTCCACAACAGTTGTGGGAATCATTCCCTTTTTTTTTAAATCAGAAATAGAGTAAATGAAACAGCTTTGTAAAAGCTTCAGTGGTTTTATTTAAGCATAATATTTTGGAGGATGCAAAAGTAGGCCATAAAAGCGCTTAGTAGACCAGAAATCAATTGAGTGCTGCAGGAGAGGAGTTAAAACTTCATTTTTTTGCCAGAAATTAGACACATTGAACACTCATTAAAACCTGTTTGCTGCTGGACTGAGTAGCTAGCTAACTACCATAACCAAAGGAATTTTGAAGGCCTCACTCTCAGTTAAAAATTCTTGTCGCATTTTGGAGTTGTTCAACCTGGTCTAACCTGCCTTGTTGCCTTTCTGCTGGGCAGTGCTCTATGGCATTTCAGCCCAATATTTGCAGCATGTCTCTCTCTTTCACTGGAGAAGTCATCTGATGAGGCAATTCCAGGCTCTGCTCAGAGCTCAGAGACCTGTGGTTTGTTTGTTTTAGCTTTGTGAGCTCTGTACACACATTTCACCAGGATCTAGGTCAGACAATGGTGCTTGAAGAAACCACAAACGAAAGGCCAAAAGAACTTCAGAATGATTTGTCGGTCACAGCCCATAGCCTGTAATGTAGGGCTGGATCACCGAAATGCTTTCCAGTGGTGACTCTGGGCCAGTTTCAAGAGTATGTACAATTTTCAGATTGCTAAAACCAGTAATTTTAATAAATTTTGAAGGGCTGGCCTCTTTTGCATTCCCATGGTAGCTGCTGTTCATGGGAATGCTGCCCAGTTCTTAAACCCAAACCCTCTATGACTGCCAGGGGAGGGTTTTCATTAGACAGCCTATGTCTCTAGTCTTGCCTTTTGCTGAGCTTCTACCAGAAACAGAAGTATTTAGCAGCTCTTGATGCTCATTACAAGACTTTTTCATCAGCTAAACTTTGACTGATGGCAGACTCATCACAGCAGACACAGGCTGCATTTACTGTGCAGCTGCATTTATTGTGAAGCTCTGACTTGTTATGATACTGGGTTCTGCTAATTAGTCCTTAAATAAATAATCCATCTGACTGTGGACAAGATTCTAGGGCTGTGAGGACAAGCCAAAGAAAACCTTTAATTATAAAAGAGCTGAGTCCTCCCTCCACAGACTTGCAGTGAATATGAACGAGCAAGAGGATGAGAGATCAGGCAGAAGCTGCAGGTACAATATTTGGATTACTTTCACAGTATGGTGGGATACAGGACCAAAGCATTTTAAGCTTTCAGTTTAAGAAAACAGAACATAAATCTACTCATTTTGAAATCACAGGATCACAGGGGTACCATTAAGATCACATCTTGGAACCTTTTGCGCAGCACAGGTCAGATTGGTTTGCCCAATTGTGCGCTGTGGTCAATGTGGAGGGAGTCCTCTTACATCTTCACTTTGGCCCTTTAAATATGACAAACTCAGCTCTCAGTGAGCTCAAAAGTGTAGGACAGTCCTTTAAAGCATGTTTTGGACATTACATCTGAGTGAATGTTCTCTGCTGGGGTTCAGATAGAGCATCAGTAATCACATCTGAACTACACAAGTCCATCCTCTCACAGGACCTGGGTATTCATTGGATGAGTCTGTGATGGAGAATTTTCCTTTTGCAAACTATGTCAGTGCCTAACAAGCTTTGCCTATAAAAAGCTGCACTTATTACCAGTTGAGAATATTTCTAGAAGATGAACTTGAGAAATGCACATAGGAATGAAAGGTGACTACTTTCCCATTTCATCCCAGTTTGTTGACTTTATGATTTATGTTTTTAATTCCCACTTGAGCCAGACAAATTAGAACCCCTCACAGGTGAAAACCAAATAGATTTGGGAGAAAGTCTAAAATATTCCACCTTCCTCTGTTCACTGAGAGATCTCCAAAAATCATGACACAGGTCATTACCTCATGACTATATTAATAAGGCATAAGGACCACAGTCCATAGCTGAACTACACCACAATCCTATGACAAACACTGAATGTGGTTCAAGGAAGTCTTAATGACAGTAAATCCCTTCCATTAAAGAATAAATTCAATTAACTGTAATGTTGAAAAAAAAATCCAGTATTTAATTGCCTCATTAGAAACACCTGGCTCACTGATTTTTAGCCTTGACTTCCATCTCCTGGAATCTCTCATCCAGAGAAGAGAAAGATTCTGCTATATAGATATACAGTCCCTTTGTGCTTGTATTTTTGGTACACTTGGTCATGTTCCTTTGGATTTTAATTTCCCTAACACTTTTGGAAGCAATATCAATAACAAAAGGCTGTTTTCAAAACCAAGTTAAAATAATTTGCTTGAGTTCTTCCTCAAGCTGACAAAAAACTCTCAAAACACCACTTTTCTTTTAAAAGGTCTGTACAGAGTCACTGGGGGCCAGGACCCACCTCTTTTGAAGACAGTGGCAATTCTCTCATTGACTTCACAGGGTCCAGCTCAGGACCTGTGTGGTTGCAAACCAGAGAACCTGGTCCAGATTCAGATCAAGGGATCCCAGTTCAGGTACAGTGGATTTATCCTCACATGGATATGAGGAGCCACTGACTTGCTGATCTCTGGCAGAAACAGCAGGACATGGCTGTTTGGCCACCCCTGCAAAAACTGTCTCATAAAACACCCACTAACATCAGATGCCAGGGGGAGTTTATGGCATAACACGGACTCCTCATGTAGAAAAACAAGATTTTTTTTATCACTTAAAGTGTTGTTATTTTTTTACAGCTCTGGGCTGCCTAGATGACTAACTCTTCACAACTAAACTAAAACTATAGCATAACATTGTTGCAGCAGCTTCTGAAATTTTAAAAGGCAAAGCTGATTGAAATGCTAAATCTAAAAACCAAATCCCAGTCCCATAAGAAGATGGTGAGAGGTGATTAAAAAGCAAGCCAGTTGAAGATGAATGTTAATTTGAATTGGAGGTGAAAAAGCAGCAGCTTTTGAATATGAAGTGACAAAGGTGCTCTGGCATGTATATGTAAAAGTATATATGTATATGCTATACCTTGTTCATGCTGACGTGCAGGGCTGGCCATGGTCCAACTACCTTCACACTCTCCGTTTCTATTTTCTTCAGATGAGAAGTTTCATCATAAAGAAGGGGAAGTCCTGAGCTCAGTTCTAAAAGGATGCCCAAAAGAAAGAAAGAAAAAGAGACAGTCTGAAGGGAGGCTACAGAAGAACTTCAGAGCAAGACACTCAACTGCATTTGAAGAGACGGCGGTTGGCAAAGCATCTTCTCTGTAAGACCCTCTAAAATGTTTCATAATTATGCCTGTTGGGTCATTTTGCCTTCTTCTATTTAGCAAACAATTCCTCCCCCTCCTCCTTCTCACCCATCCTTTCATTTCAGCAGAGCTTTTGCCAGCTTTGGGCTAGATATTTCTCTCCTTACCTCCCCGCTGCCTCTACCCCCTCTATATTCTAAAACTTAGTTGACACCAGAGGGATTATTTATGCAGCCAAGGTGCCACTCTCAAAACATGTGATGTGTAAAGAGATCAGAGTATAGCTTTTGGCTTCTCTCAGACATCTTTATTTATATGCCAGCCTCTTTAAGACTGTTGTCAGGAATTTGCTGTGCTTTGTCAACAGAGATTTAAAGCAAGCCACTGACACAGAAAGACAAGGAAAAAATATTTTTTCAGACAACCCTAAAAGGTCTCTGTCATCATCTTGGGGATGCTGTGGCATTTATATATATATATATATATTTGCAAGTACTCTGAGAAAAATAAACTTCATAGTGTGATGATTTAATGAATTTCTGTGTCCTCCCATATTTCTTCCTGCCATGGATTCTAGATAATAACAGTTGGGAACAATCCAGTTCTGTGGAGTCTGATTCAAAGCCTACTGAAATCAATAAAAATCTTGCACTGACTGCAGTTTGGTTTGGATCAGGTTCTTAAGCTGTCCTAAGAATATTAAATATTACTCACTCGAGATCTAATTCTACAGCTGTTTAAATATACATTAAGGGCTTTGCTGACTAGAGACAAATTGCTAAAACCAGCTTAGAGGGATATAAGTGAAAAGCTTTTTTTTGGTTTTAGTGAAACATTATCAGACCCTGAGGTAATAATGTCCTAGAAAGGGTTACAATATCATCATTGACCTCCTCTTGGTGGTCTTTCATCATAAGTTAGTGTTGCCAGAGTTCAGCATTTCTCACATCACAGCTGCTTCTGGGCATATGAGACAGTGAAACTGGGACTAAATTAACACAGCCATAAAATCAGACATGATGATGGGCAGTTTTTTTTAAGAAAAAAAATCATTCCAATTTCCTCCTAAGAAAGAAAATAAAGGGAGGGAAAGTGCCTTATTTAAATTATTCAACTTTGCTATTATTTTAAACTGATTTTTAAGCTGGGGTTTTTGTTTTGGTTGTTTAAAAGAAGAGCTCTGGAAGACAAGCAGGCCAGTTTAGCTTTTTAACCCAAGCTCAAAAACAAACAAAAGAAAAGGCAAAAAATGAATTCCTACAAAAGGCATAAATTTCCTGAATCAGCATTAAGTCTTGGCAAACCCAGGCTTTCATTCCAAGAAAGGATCTGGCAGCACAGTGGTTTTTCAAAGTGCTGTTTTCAGCTTGAAACTCCGTCTGTGTTAGACCATTCTCTGCTCAGGGTTACGCAAGGTCTTTTGCAGCGAGCTGCTCAGGAGTGAAGAATGCCTTTTTTTGAAGTGATAACCTGCAAACTCAGCCCAGAGTTCAAGAGGCAACCTGGGTCCCCTCTTCCCCTTCCTCATTTTCTGTCATAAAAATTCCGTGAGCTGCATTGCCTATGTGTTGGCATCTGCTCCCAGTGATAGCCCCAGCTGCTGCCGGTGAGTCTGCTCATGTGCACCTGGAAATCCATGCAGGACCTTGCCATGCCAATTAGGCTCAGCAAGCAGCTCACCCTCTCTTCCCTGTGAGGCTGACTGCTGTTGCATAGAGTGGGACTGGAGTTCTGGGATACACTGGGGGAAGATGTGCTGCACGACAAGATGCGATGTTAGCTTTGAGGTGAGGTGTAGCATTGCGAGTGCAAGGATCAGGCTGAATGCAGGAAAACAACATCTTCTGCTGAGCTGCCCTCATAAACACACATGTCAGATTTGTTTCACTGGATTTCACTTCCTCCAGTAATTGAAGCAGACAAATTACTTGGAATGTGAAAAATCAGGCAGATCTGGCCCGGGTTTGTTTTCTGTTTGTTTCTGTAACAAAGTCCTGTGCTGTGCGTTTGCTGGGAAACATGCACTAGTATTTAAAGGAACCCTGGCTGGGCACATTGTTGTTTCCCTCCCTCCTGCCTATGTCCCACTAATTGCACTGGACTTTTGGAATTTCTCAGAATAGATGTAAGTGGAAGAAAGGCATACGCTTTCTCCCTCTCAGTCTGATGGTGGATACATATCAGTGGGTCACTCCATGTTCCACTTCAGATGAATCCAAAATCATCTCAGAGCTCAGTGATGAGTCCAGTCCATAGCAACTGGAACAAGTCACAAAACACCTGTGGTCCCATGGAAAAGCACAAGGTAGGTTAAGTGCTGGTGTCACCTCTGTCAGCCTTAGGAGGAAGTTTCTGCTAGGATAGCATATTTGCCCCATGAGATCTTTTTGCTCTTCAGGCATTTCCACTTAAGATATTTTGGTCACAAGCACCCTCTTTCCTGAGAGCATCCCCATTTTAGTGACCACTTACTTCCTAGAAACACTTTCCCAGCACTGGCCTTTCCACACAGTCTGGAGCCAGACACCAGTCCCCCATGTCCTCACGTTCCTGAGGCAGACTGCTGATAGTGTTTCCTCTCTGCCTGATTTTTTCTTGGCCCACACACTGTGCCATGTCCTCCATAAACGGCCAATGGCCAGCATGCTCCTAACCATTTCAGTACATGCACGGTGAACCTTTCCCACAGGCTCTCTACAAGAGTTTTCTCAGCTGAAATAGTCTGAGCAGCATTTTAATGAAACCATTAAAAACAAACCAACCCTATTCTCCGGAGCACTAACCTTGAAAAGGCACTTAAACCCATCACCCCAAGCTGCAAATGTGTAAGTCGGATTCTTCCCTTCTTCAGTTTTAAGGGAAGTGCTCCTACCCAGACTGCCACTGCTCTCACAGCATGAACATGCCAGATATAACCATGGACTGGCTTCTCAAGGGAAATCAGCTTTGCACCTCCAGCTGAATGCACAGGTGCCACAGAGGATCAGCAATGGGTTGCAGAGGGGCAGCACAGCAGCATTTAGACACCCAGCACACGGCATGCACAGCTGCCTGAACAGCTCAGCTGGGAGCAGTCAGCACAGCTGCACCACAGCCTCCCGCTGGAGGTGTCCCATCGCTTTCCACTCCCTTAGAGAAACTGGGAATTGGCATTTGGTGCTACTGGCATTAAGCAAGAACCAGCACTGATTCTCTTCTTCTGCATCAAATAGTGTGGAGCAGTCTTCAGCAGATCAAGTGAAGAGAAAGGTGAATCTGTCTCCAGCAACAGGTGCCATACACACTCTGGCTTCTGAAGTCCCCTTCAGAGCATGGCAGCTGCCAGGCAGGCCAGGGACACTGCTCCCCACCACCAGGGCCAGTTTGAGGGAGAGGGCTCACTCTCCCCATGTCTGGGGAAGGACATGGAACCTCCCAGGCCCCAGTTTCATCTCACTGAGCACAAAGAGAACTGCTCCTGATGTTTGCCCTTGTGCTCTTCTAGGCTTTTCCTAAAGGTTGTTTCTGCAATAAGGAGAAGCAGGAGAGCTGTGTGACCTGAGAGGAGACAGAGTGCTGGAATAAACACCCTGTGCCATGTGGTTTTTGGTGTTTCTTTAATTCCCTCCTGTCCCGCAGGTGGGCCCACGGCAGGGCAGTGGGGAGCTGGAGACCAGCAGCACTGCAGGGACTGAAGTGGGGCACCGGAAGGGGAGTCTGACACGGAGCTGGGGGCTGGATGGGAGCCCCGAGGAGGGGGCTGGGGGAAGCAGGGCCGGCAGTGCCTTCTGGCTCGGGACACTCAACAGCAGCAGCATAGCTGGCTCTGAATGAATTTCCTGGCATGCTTCAGCTCTAATTTGGGAAAGGAAAATATGGGCTGGCACACCCCCCAGAAAGGTCACCGCCTCCCAGGGTGCCAGGCTGATAGCCGGGAGAGGTTTTCCAGCACAGCCGTGCCAGCATCCCCCCAGCGCCCAGCCCGGCGTGCGGGGCGGCCCCGGGAGCGCCGGGCCGAGGCCCAGCCCGGGCAGGGCCGGGGCTGCCCCACACCGCAACAGCCCGCACAGGATCGGGGCAGCCCCACAGCGGCACAGCCCCACAGCGGCACAGCCCCACACCGACACAGCCCGGGCAGGGCCGGGACAGCCCCACACCGACACAGCCCGCACAGGGCCGGGACAGCCTCACACCGACACAGCCCGGGCAGGGCCGGGACAGCCCCACACTGGCACAGCCCACATTCCTCTCCTGAGGGGTGCCGGTGGCTGCACAGCAGGGCCGAGATGGAAATACCTCAAAACTATCGCACTCTCTTGGGGAAAGAAAATGTTTCTGATCTTCCAAACAAAGTCTGGTTAAAGTGCCTGTCCAGATAGATGCCTATGCGATACTGCTGAGGTGGGACCGCTTATGGTCAGGGTCACCCAGTACAGTCCAAGAACCTGGTTTCAGGAATTTGAAAGTTATCAGATTAACTGACCATGGTGAACGATTCCACAATGGATAGCTATCTCAGGGTCATTTACAGTTATGAAAGCCAAAACTGGGCAAGGAAAGAACTCATCATTTCCTAGAGACAAGGAATATAATAGATCATATTTTATTTTGCCCATCATCTGCCATTCTTACACAGCTTCAGCTTCTGACATACTGCAGAGTGCAGAGATTGTAAATCTGGAGAGCAATGCTCAATGACAGGGATGTTTCTCTTCCAGTTCCTGTGTAAAATATTTGGCCAAGCTCTGTACGCTTAAAAGTGCCTGTACATGCTCAGCAGCAGAGACTTCCACCCAAACTCCCCCAAACTGCATCAGGAATGAATAGGCTTCTCTCCTTGTTGCTGTCTACAAGCCAAAAATTTCTCCATTAAGGAAGCAAGAATATTCCAGTCTTGGTTGCTAAAGCTTGCAATTATTCCAAATACCCAAACTAAGAGCAAGATGCTGTATGTCCAGGGCTCCAAAATTTCTGCTGCCTGTGCCCAGACATGAAAACAAGATCCAAACAATGAGGGCTGAGGGCCCGCTGGACAGATCAGCAAAAGACAATAGCAGATGAGGGTAGGTTTGTGAAACTATGCAAACAAATAAAAAACAATGAAAAAGGAGCCTGTGCCAAAAAGTGGTTAGAGAGGCAGTATCTGTGACTAATGGGGTATTTGTTCAGCTATGGAACACCCACCTAACACCAAATCCCACAACCCTGCAGCAAACCAAGGAAATTGCAAATCTTGTCTCATTTGTATATGCTACAGAGCTAGCAAATAATAACAGGAAGCACATTCTTCAAGGAGGAAAACTGAAATGCACACTCTTTTCCTTTCCTTTGGCTCCTTGCCTGAGACAAACGTGAAAGCAGCACAATCATTGAAATAACAATCACTGCAGTGTACTTACTGGTTGGATTTGGAACTGCAGAAACAATGTCCTTGGTTTCAGGAGTAAGGGCACCATAATTGGCGTGGTGGTGGTGATGCCGATGGTGGTGGTGGTGCCTTGCAGCCATTTTTGTGGTATATGGAGTCCCACCATTCTCCTCAATGTTGAACGGATGCAGATCGCTGTTGTTCAACGGATAACTACAAAATAAATCCAGTTCAAATTAGAGCAGTAAACAGTAGCACCAATTGTACTTTTGGAGAGAGAGAGTGAAAACTTTCTTGGGAAAAATTGCTCAGCATTTTTGTAAATAAAACATGGTTTTTTATCCCAAATCTTTACAGTTTTCTATCTCCACAAGATTTATGTGATGAGAAAAAAGGATGCCTCTGCTTGTTTGTATGACTTTAAGATCAGAACTATTTTTGATTTTACACAGTACATAATCTCTGCTAGAATCTTTCCTGGGAAAGGAAAGTCATCAAGCAGAAAACAACAACTCTTTTAAAGTGAAATTGTCCAAAGAGCAGACCAAGGAACAGTCTCAGAGTAAGACTACATTTCTGAGACTGTTCCAGGTCTCTAAATTTTTGATGCAAAAGAGCTATAAAAAAATTCTGACTTAGGGAAAAAATTGGGAAATAAAACATTTTACAGATAACAACATACAAAATAGCACTTGGTCAAAAAGGAATTGTACTGGTGCTGGTATAACTAGTTTGGGTCTTGGTGGGGGGTTTTCATGTGTTTAGTCAGGAGATTAACTATCATCAATCCGCAATAGCTGGCAAACGGGGACACATTGACATTTTAAGTCATCATCTCTAACTGAAAGGTGACAAATTACAGTGCTGCTTTTCTTCATTAGCTTTAACTGATACTGTTTCAGTTCATTGTTTGAAATGACGATGAATTTCTAGAAGTGATATTTTCTCTCCATTCCAGCAACCAAAAAAGATTGAGATAATTCTACACACATATTGCAAATGATTTGAATGTGCTTTCCTCAGAAGAGTGCTTAAAAATTTTATAAGGTTTTAACTTATTCTATAGTAGTGCATTAGACAGTAGTTGCAGTAAATCAATCCATTTCAACAAAAGATGAATCCCCTGCCTATTTGAAATATGCTAAAGAAATTATATCTTCAGCTGCATGGGTTTTCAGTTTGCTTTTATTAATAACAGCAGCCAGAAAACCTGACAACATGAAATGAAGGCAAACCGAATAATTAAAGGAACAATGAATAAATTATACCTAAGATAGTTGCTACATATGTTTTCTGCAGATTACTCAGTGATTCAAAGCAAAATTAACCAGTCATCTAGTAAATAAACACATCTGTATCATTTCCAAAGTTCTACTGAAACACGCAGCTTGGTACATCATTAATAACCACTGTCTTCTTACTAACAACTTCAGACAACATGAGGTTTCTGACTGGGTACTAATTGAATAATACTTTTATGCTGGTTACTTTTTGAAAGCAGGAGGCGGGGAGGGGAATGTTGTGTATATTAATCTTGGCAGGTTCCCAGCATGAAGCAACCACTGCCAATAAACGCGCTTCTGATGGCTTTTTTGCCTTAAGGAAACAATAGAAATAGGTGTCTGATACACAGGGAATAGCTTTTGTGAGCTCAAATAATGCAGGACTGGTCTGTCTTTTCAAACTGCACTATATCTTTACTGCTATAATCAAATCAAGCAAGTGCCTACAGGGGGAAAATGGTACAGGCTAATGAGATTGCACACTAATTGTAGCAGCTCTCCTGCACTTGCCCTTCAAGGGCCTTGGATTGGTGTGACATTTTTTGACTGAGAAGATAGGTGGTTTTGTTCACATGGTTAAAACTCTACTGGGAAATAAGTTTAGGGATGGAGCCTCAGCACATTTTTTTTTTTTTTCCCATCTGATTCATTTTTTTTCAGGACACAAAATCCTACATGTAGGGATTTTTATTTCACCCACTGGCAGGTTGGTTTAGCAGATTTTCAATTGGTCTTTTCAAAATTAATCACACCAAATCCTTACACTGATTCCTCATACTGCTATTGTCCCAAGGTATCTTCCATGCTGAAATGAGAAGGAGCTGAGCACTGAATGAGCCAACTGAATTGACCTCTGGCATGAGAGCAAATGTGCACCAAATCCTCTAGATGTATTTCTTGACTGTCCAGAGAGGAGAGTAACATGTAAAATGTAAAATGCAGGGAGAGCATTACATCAAAGAAGTAAAGAGCTAGCCCAGCAAAGCTGATGTTCAGCTATGCTCTGAAATCCTTGAGGACAGCAGGTCACAAAGCTGCAGACAGGGTGTCACTACCCAGGCAGCGCTCTCCAATGTGAAATCCCACGTTCAAACTGCTGGCCATGTAAAAGCGTGTGGTCACCTGCACTCTTCCAGGGCTGGCAGCAACTGACAGATGGCAAGGCAAGCTTATCTCAGGGTCAGCCAACTCTTGCATGTCCGATGCATATGAGGCTGGGCACTGGCACAGATACCCTCACTGCCAAGGAGTTACTGAACAATCAGAAACAACAGGCCTTGCAGCAGCCCCAGAGCCTGCCAACTAGAAAATCTGACAGTACCCAAACAAAAATATCATAAGTAGTCCAAATCCTTTTTCTATGTGCTCTCTCATATATATTTTAGGGGGACATTAGGAATCTTACTGTAGTTTCTACAAGGTGACATCATTATTATTATCTCATATCACGTGTTTCACTTTTCTGTTCTTCCACTGCCTAAAGATAGAGACTTGACACTTTTCCACTCAATGCATCCTTTTGTTGCTAACTTGGCCTTCTATTTGTTGCTTCTATCTGGCTTACCTGAATAGAAAACATGCTCATGTATCCTTCCCAGTCTATTGATGTAAATAAATCACTACTTTCAGTGAACCAACTTTTTAACCATATGCTGAAGTGTTCATACTCCTGACCTCCAGGAATTTGTACTTGCTCCCCAGACATTAACTAATGCTCTCAGATTATGTGCATTATGTGGACAGGTAGTAGTTTTCATCCTTTCTCTTGCACCTGCATTCTGACCATCCTAGTATGCCAATGTCACACCTTTGGTTTACTTTTTAAACATCATTCAGCTGTCCTGCAGATTTCCTTTTCTCTGCTGTGATTTACTTGCGTGGCTTTCTCAACAAGTTCTAGCTGTTTCCTATACAGACAGCTCCTGTCAGTCAAGAAAAATGAGGCAGAGCCCTACAGGCAAGTGTGTAAAGGAAGCAAACATTTCTTTCTTCTTTGTCCCTCAGTCAGGAAAAAGCACTCCTGAGGATTCAGTTTCTGCAGGCTGAACCTTCAAAAAGGCCACTCAGTGTTCACAAGAAGGTTAGTGCTGCCTTTAGCCTCAAATTCACATTAATTACTTCCTTCTGACCAAAAAGGCAGCACATCAAGGAACAAGGCAAATAACACATATCTACTAACTTCCTTTCCTATTTTACAGTTTCCATTTACATTACTAGTGCTCTGTCTCAGTTTTACCCTCCTGACACTTTACCCAAAAAGCTGTTTTCAGTTGACATTCTTAGATTTCATGTGCTGCAGTCACCTACTGCTTTACCAAACTATATCTCTAGTACAGAATCCGCACACACAACAACAGTGTTAAGAGGACATAGGAAAATAAGGAACAGAAAACTTTTTGAAGGCCTCCAAAACCAAAGTATGTGGGCCTGTGTTACCTGAACTGAACCTCCAACACCCTCACTAGCACAGACTCCATGACCCTCCTGTGCAATCAATTTCAGTGTCTCAGCATGTCTACACTTATTTCTTTGTTTATTCTGTCTCCTTTACTGCAATTTAAGCCACTATTTTATCTCTCATCCATCACAGACACAGTAAGAAGGTTATTTCTTGCCACAGAAGCCTGTGTTTTTGAAAATGGCCCTTTACACCTCCCCTCATCCCCTCATGATCTGTAGAGCTCTGAATTCCTCAGTTGCCCCTCACAGGTTGCACATTATGTGCAGCTCTGAGACATCTTGCCATCCCTGTCCACCCAGCTGCCCCCTGCTCTGCTTCCAACATGTGGTGCTAAGAACTGGACACCCCATTCCAGCTGAGGCCTGGCAAACATGTTTCAAAGAGGAAGGGTTGCTTCCTATGTCCTACAGGATCTACTCCTGTTTATACACTGGAACATCACAATTTTTTTTATATAGTCTGGGATTGTTGACTCATGTCTAACATATGATGTTCAAGAATATCAGGTCCTTTCCTAAACTGGCCAGGTTTCCAGCCCCACAACATCAGCTGTGATGCATTACTCTTACCTAACAGCACAAACATTCCTCCTGAGCTGTGCCCTAATCCTTCTGATGTGCTAAGATCAGTACCTGATCAGGACTTTTCTCTCATCCATGACAGGCCCAGTATGTAAGGACACCCATTTTGGTGCAACCCATGAGTGACAAGGGGTTTTTTAAAAAACATGATTGCCTTTCCATGCCATCCTCCCAGCTACCAGCCTCAGTCTCCTGGGGCTCTGCAGAAACATCTTGCACCTGTGTCCCAGAGCAAGCTTATTCCTGCACCTTGCCCATGCCCCTCTTTGCCCACTCTTCCTTTAGCCTCTTCCACCTGTCTGAAGTTACACTTGGAGAGCAATGGTGGGGCTTTCTCCTCTCCTCTCCATGGGTAGGCTGGAGGGCAAGAGCAGAAAGCAGGCTCAAACTATCATGCCTTGTGGATGACTCTAAGAGTTTAGACCTTTCCTACCACAGCTGAACAGTGGTTTAAGAAGATCCCAGGCTTCCAGGTCTGGTTGTGATAAACAACCTTCAACAATTACCACACCCACCTCTATTTGCTTTGAACATTCCTCCTGCACCAAACCACTGCTATTTTCCAGTATTTAAAAATCCTCAAACTTTCCACAAACATCTTCAGAACTGCTCTCAGTCCTCCCCCATCTGTAGCTCAGAGCAAGCCTGGTGGTGATTTGCACGGGCTTTGGCAGCAAAAATTCACACTGCCGGCATTGTACTGAATGTGCTGGGAGATGTATCACCCATCGCTGTACATTACAATGCCTTCTCCAACATCAAAATGGGCTTCAGATGTGCTTCCAAATGGCAACTAGAGGAAGTGTTGCAGTGCCTGTTAACATATATGTGTATTAATGTGGATGTAATGAAAGCAGCCACTGCGTGTGAAATTTCAGTGTGGCAGCC